TCTAGAGGGGAGGGGGTGGGGGGATGGGTTAGCCTGGTGATGGGTATTAAAGAGGGCACATTCTGCGTGGAGCACTGGGTGTTATGCACAAACATAGTCATTATAACTAGTCATTAGGGAAAAGCAAATCAAAACCATAAGATACCACTTCACACCCATTAGGATGGCTACGACAAAAAAAAAAAAAGAAAGAAGAAGAAAGTAGCAGGTGTTGGTGAGGATGTGGAGAAATTGGAACACTTGTGCATGATTAGTGGGAATGTAAATGGGGCAGCTGCTGTGGCAGACAGTATGGCAGTTGTTAAAAGCATTAAACATAGGGGCGCCTGGGTGGCTCAGATGGTTGTGCATCTGTCTTCGGCTCAGGTCATGATCTCAGCGTCCTGGGATCAAGCCCCGCATCGGGCTCCCAGCTCAGTGGGGAGCCTGCTTCTCCCTCTCCTTCTGTCATTCCCTCCACTTGTGCTCTCTGACTCTATCTCTCTGTCAAATAAATAAATAAATAAATCTTAAAAAGAAAAACATTAAACATAGAATGACCATATGACCCAGCAATTCCGTTTCTGGGTTTACACCCAAAAGAACTGAAAGCAGCATTTTGAAGAGAGATCTTCATACATCCATGTTTGTAGCAGCATTATTCACAGTAGCCAAAAGGTAGAATGGATAAGCAAAATGTAGGATATGCCTACGATAAAATATTACTCAGCCTTTAAAAGGAAGAAAATTCTTACACATGCTACCATGTAGATAAACCTCAAAGACACCATGTTAAGTGAAATAAGCAAGGCGTGGAAAGATAAATACCATATGATTCCACTTGTATGAAATACCTGGAGTAGTCAAATTCATAGAGACAGAAAACAGAATGGTGGGTGCCATGGGCAGAGGGCGGGAGCCATTTAATGGGTTCAGAGTTTTAGTTTGAGAAGATGAAGAAGTCTTGGAGACAGGTGATGATGATGGTTGCCTAACCATATAAGTGTACTTAATGCTACTGAACTGTAGATGTAAAAATGGTTAAAATGGTAAATTTTGTTATGTCTATTTTACCACAATAAATTTTTTAAAAAATGAACCAGGAAACATAATGTAATGGGGCAGAGTGGGGGAAGAGTGGAACTGGGAAGAGGTGAGGAAAACAAAGAAGAAAAAGAGAGGAAGGAGGCAAGCAGGAGGGGGGTGCAGGGAGAGAAGACAAAGGGAGCAGGTGCAGAAGGTGAGAAGTGGTCAGGCGACACAAGTAACAGCTTTCCTGAGGCGTGGGATGCCAGGTGCCTGAGCACTGTCCTTTCTAAGCTCTGGAAGGGAGGGGGCAAAATTAAGCTTGCATTGTGAGGGTGCCCTGGGCTCCGTGTCTACCCTTTCTCTGCCCAGCTTTCCCTAGCCCAGGAGGGAAAGGGATGCTGCAGAAGTGGGAGAAGCCGCATCACAGAAGTTATCCTGACCATTTCATCTCTTTCAGTTCGCCAAAGCCACGGAGAAAACACCTCAGTGCATTTACAGAAAAGAGTACGTCCCCTTCCCAGGCCACAGACCAGACCAGATCTCCAGGTGTTATGGCAAGAGGAGAATTGAGGTAAGAGGGAGTGGGGGCCCCACACTCAGGCCTGGGCTCCCCCCAGTGCTCAGGGGCCACCACCTGCCAGCTTCTTCTAAGCTCATTTCCCCCTAGCGGACACAGTAGTTGTCTTGTGAGCACTCTCCCCAACCCAGGGGCTGCAGATGGCATCCACCTTTATTTACAATCTGCCAAATCTCAAACTGGTAGCATTTCCCCCCCCCCACACCCCGTATCCCAGCACTGTCCTGGATCATTTCCCAGTTCCTCCAGGTTCTCCCAACAGGATGTAGGCAAAGGGTGTGGGAAATAAACAAGCAAGGTAAATACTGAGTTAAGGGGAACATAGAAATCACATAAGGTCCTCCAAAAGCAAGTAGCGGTGATGCTTGGATGATAGTATTTTGTATCATCTATGCCTCAGCTTCCTGTTCTTTTGTATAAAAAGTCAGGGACCATTCTGCCCTCTCTCACTCATTGAGTGCATACCCTTGTGTTGCAGGTCCCCAGAGCAGGAAGCAGGGCACTGCGACCTCAGGACATGTCCCGCACCCGCACCCCCCAACCCCATACCTGCCTAAACTCAGGGTGGGGGCACAGAGTGAGGGGTGGGCACTGTCAGAATGGGAGCATTTTGGAGCTGGAAGGGTTCCAAGAGATTGTTCAGCTCAGCACCCTCATTTGAAGATAAAAGGCGCCCCGGGTGTGGTGAATGTCTTGTCCAAAACTGTGTAGCTGGTTGGTAAGAGACTAAGCAGGTGGCTGATCTGTAACTCAAGCAAGTATCCTCACATCCCTCTTCATTATCTGCTGGAGTGGACTCTGTCTTCTGCATTCGGGAGTCATCTCTGTATAAACAGCACCACATTTTCAGCTCTGTGTTGGCATCCCTGGATTGCATGGATATTCCTGGAGTACACTGGCATCCGCAGACCATGCTGACGCTCTGGGGCTGCTAATCGTTACCATTAGTGTGCACTGAAGACCCAAATGCATGTTCATAGAAGGAAGTCAAAATAAGAACCCATGATCTGGGGTTCCTGGTCCCCAATCATCAATATATATGAGGTACTTAGCCTAGTTCTCAATACACATTCATGCCCTTCTTAAAGACTTTTGGAATCATTACAAACCCTGATGAAGAGATAACCACACACACACACACACACACACGCACACACACACACAATCTGGTTAAGGGGCCCCTGGGGGGCTCACTCACTTAAGCATCTGATTCTTGATTTTTTGCTCAGGTCATGATCTCGAGGTCATGAGATCCAGCCCGGAGTTGAGCTCTGCGCTTGGCTGGGAGTCTGCTTGGGGGATTCTCTCTCTTCCTCTCCCTCTGCCCCTCCCCCTGCTCTCTTTTTGTCTCTCTGAAATAATAAATAAATAAATCCTTATGTAATCGGGTTAAAATTAAGAAGCCCCCTGCCAACAAATACACAAAATAGGACCAAACAATTTGATATCCATTTGCAAGGACTCTGTTCAAATCTCCTGCTTGTGTGAGGGGACCCTGGACATAGCGCTGCCCCACACAGCTGCTTCAACCCATCGGCTCTTTCGGGTACTTCATCCTGCTCTTCCTCCTAGGACAGCCAGCTCCCATCCCCACTTCACACTTCCTCATTCTTAGACAAAGGCATACCTGCTCATTCAATTGACTGGATTGATGGGGTTAGCATCACCCAGAGAGGACCCCCCCTTTCTGTGCTTTTCCATTAGGCAGGTATATTCGTTGCATTTTTTTTGATGTAGTGTTCCATGATTTATTGTTTGTGCATAACACCCAGTGCTCTATGCAGAACGTGCCCTCTTTAATACCCATCACCAGGCTAACCCATCCACCCACCCCCCTCC